TCCGGGGTCGGGGACATCCAGAGCACCCCCGGCCGTCGGCCTCATCAGTCATCCCGGACAGGCAGCAAATCCTCGCGGCCGCTGTCACCGATGAGCAGCAGCTCCAGCTTCTCATTCCAGAGATGTGGAAGCTGCTGCTGCAGACGGCTCCGTGCAGCGGGAACCGGCAGCTTCGCTCCGAGCTGCTGTTGGAGGGGGGTAATTTGCCCCCGGGGAACGGCATGGGGAGCATGGGGGAGCCGTGCGTGGATCCCATGGCTCAGCCGTGGATCCCATGGCTCGTTCACATGTGGCCGTGGGTCCATTCCCACGAAAACGCGGGGAGAGGATCCGATGCAGGAGGCTCGTGTGGCCACGCTCTGCCTCGGCGCTCACTGCGCCCCCAATGCCGTTTGGGAAGGGTTTAGTGGAGCCAGGGCGAGTGTTCGGGAAGGGTTTAGCGGAGCCGGGGCGAGGGTTCGGGAAGGGTTTAGCGGAGCCGGGGCGAGGGTTTAGGAAGGGTTTAGCGAAGCCAGGGCGAGGGTTCGGGAAGGGTTTAGCGAAGCCAGGGTCGAGGGTTCGGGAAAGGTTTAGCGGAGCCAGGACGAGGGTTTGGGAGGGGTTTAGCAAAGCCGGGGCGAGGGTTCGGGAAGGGTTTAGCGGAGCAGGGATGAGGGTTTGGGAAGGGTTTAGCAGAGCTGGGTGCTGCGCAGAGGCCGCGGGAGTTGCTCCCTGCGCAGCAAGGAGTGTCATTAAGCGCCTGCTGACTCTGCTCCTTGGTGCATCTGCGTTTCTCAGATTTTTCTCATGGAAACTCTTTAGAATATGAATCAGCTCCAGCATGAAGCGCTGTCTCTAATCAAGGGAAGATTAATAGTGCCATTGAACTCGCTAGGTGAGGAAGCTGCTTCCCCTCCTTTGCATAGGTTGGTCTGTGCAGAAACGCCTCTTCCAAGAGGCCTTTGCATGGAGAGGTGTCGGCCCTGGCCATTACAGACGTGACTCCGGCACCCTCAGAGTTTTTAATAGCAAAATGTACTTCTCATTCCCTATTTCTGAGTCCAGCTCAAGCCAAACGTTTGCCTCTTCATGCAGCATTTGTGTCCAATAGCAATCTAGAAACACGCGCTCCCTGTCACATAGCAGGGCTTTTAAATAAGTAAATATATATATGTATTTTTAAATCTGACACTTGGCTGCAGGCGAGTTTGGGTCTTGACCACTTTTGACAACCCATCTCGCCTGTCTGCTGCTAATCCTTATTTCCCTTCCTTCTGCTCTTTCTTAGAGAAGGAAGCGGGTTCATGAGTCACATTGCCTTGGGTTGAAGCAGGCAGCTCGCTAATGCGCGCGTCCCCCGGGAGGAGCGATCTGTGTTGATAGAGTTAAATTGCATTGGAGCCTTTGTAGTTTAAAAATAGCTGATTGCTTTGTCTGCGGAGGTGAATCCCATATCTGAATTTGTAATTTGAATGCAAGGAGGAAGAGCTGCCTGCCGAACGCAATGTAAATCCCCCTCAGAGCGATTCTGCTCTTCGTTCTGGTGCTTCTGTAGCTGCGGTGAGGAAATTCCTGAGCAAAAGAACATTTGCAAGAGGATGCTGGAGGTTGGAGTAGTGCGAGGAGCGACCTTGCTTCCGTTTTGTCCTCTGCAAAGTGCCTTTGCTTCCCTGTCTTTGAAAAGGGCGGGCCAAAACGCCGTGCAGTGGCACTTACATGATTAGAGTTATTTATTGTTATTTATTGGGGCCGAACCTGTGGCCCAACACAGCCCTTGTGAAGGAGCTGCCTTCTCGTGCCAGCATCACTGAGCCCCTCTCGCTTGGTTTCTATAGCAGAATGGAAGTGTTGCCTGTTGTTTGCGATACAGCCTTAAATAAAGGAAACCCTTTACTATGGCTGAGGGCCCTTCCATATACTGCTATATGCCAAGCTGTCATAGGCAGACACTAAGATTGCTACATACGAGGCTGGAGAATCTACTTGTTTCTAAAGCTGAAAATCCGTTTGCTGGAAGTTCTCCTGTCTCCAACTCTCAGGCCTGCTTGGCCATGTGCGTATAACATTTCAGTTTATTAATATCCTTCATGCAATTTGACCATAAAGTGGCTGTTGGCTGAGCAGTTACTGGATTTGCTAGCGTAAATAACGGGGCTTGATGAAGTCTAGCTTATTTGTAGATGTGGAGCAGGCCGACTTCCTTCGCCTTTTCCCCGTCTTCCCCAATTAACTTTCATTTCTCTGTTTCGTTGCAGAGTAAGGAAGTGGGACTGCAGCTCCAGGAGGACTTGATGAAGGTCCTGAACGAGCTCTACACGGTAACTCCGGCTTCTTGGCTTCCTTTCACACGCAAGGAAGGGTGTTTGACGTCTCCCAGCCTGCTCTCACAGCAGAGACGAAGCACTAAGGCTGATAAATGTCTGCAGCCCTTGTGATTCGAGGCAGTTTGTGTTCACCAGTCTATACAGTAGTATAAATCTCGCCATTTCACTCCATCTTAATGTTCTGTTTCAGTTCTGTAAGTGTTGGCTCCTCTTCCCAAATATCTCAGGTTTAGATGTTCTTCCTACTAGCTGCAGTGTTAAAAAAAATAAAGAGAAAAAAAAGGAGGAAAATAAAGGAGATATTTAGAAATATTTCCAAATGCACTAATAAGAAATCAGTCGGGTTAATGAATGATGGAATCAGATAAGCTCAGTGGTTTTGTGTGGTCCCCTTCTGGAAATGAGCGTATAAAAGCAAGCATGCAACTTCAGCGGGGAGGAAAAACCCTCCGTGTTTATTTGTTCCTCTGCTCTTCCAGCAAAACGGTTCCCTTTAGAGTAATAGGCTTCCATCTGCGCTTTCCGCTCCCAGCCTGGCCATTGGAGCACCAAGGAAGAGGCATTGCCTCGGGAAGAGCAGAACGTGGTCGTTAAGGTTCATCCGCTGCTTGGGGAGTTTTCTTCTCGCACAGATGAATGGAAGAGCCGGCTGTTTGGTTGTTTCTTTTCCCCTCAGCAGCTGCTGGTGAATTGGTTCTGCTCTAAAAGCAGCACCACGGCATGGTTTTCCGTGGCTTTGTTGCTCAAAATGACTTTTCTTTCCTCCTTTCTTAATGATGCACCGGCTCATTGCACTAAGGGACAACTTCTTCATTCCTTGAAGACGATGTCTCTGAGTCCATGTTGGCGTTGGGAGGCAGTCAGGTATCGAGAGCATTGGAGAGGCTTCCCTGGAATTAGAATCTTTTAGGAAAAAAAGGGAGCTCGAGGGGAGGAAAATCTCCAGTGTTCCTGCTGTTGCAATAGATGCCTTGGGATCTCCACTACTCCCCTTTTCTCCTAGAAAGGCAGAGAATTCACTTTCAAATGAAGGTGGCTCATCAGGTTTGCTACTGTAGAAATTATATATTTTTCTCTTTTTTTCCTTTTGAGGATGCAGTTTATTTCAGCAGTGTTTCCTTCTTCCTGAAGGAATCTTCCTTACTCTTTTTCGAGTAAAGGATGGACAGTATCCCTGTTTCCAGCGTAGATGGGCGTCCGTGAAAACGGGCCCGTTCTTAAGTTCCCCTCCATCGATCCGGTGCGGAGCCCTTTCCCCTGGATTGTCCCTTTTGTCCCGAACTGTCCCAAGTCCTTGACTTGGCCGCTGACCCCGGCAGCCTCCAGTGAGTCAACAGCAGCCCCGCTGCCAAGCAGGGAGCAGGCGGCGCTTGTGGTTGCCAATGTGGCATTGCCAGCAGGGTGAAGTCATTAAAATCAGGATTTTTTCCCTTTTTTTTCCTGCTTCTCTTGCTTTCTGCCCGCTCCTCTTTCAGCGATAGAGGAAAAGAAGCTCCTTTGCCTCCATTATTATAAATACCTGCTCTATAGTCTGAGCAGTGGCTGTGGCTGCAAGCGTGTGTGTAAATTATTCAGAAAGTCTTTAAGGGTGGCTGCGTTCGCCTGCTCTTTCACCATTAAATACAAATTCTGTTCCTATCCGTGCTTCAGCAAAACCCTGTTGCACCTCAGACTAAGATGAAATAGGGATAAGCACATTTGTATGCTTTTGGGATAATATTTATAAAAAGTATGTGCTGTAATCCGTGTAGCACAAGTTCCTGCTCGAGCCTTCAGAAAGAACCACCTTCATTTATTGATATTCGTGTTACATAAGGCAATCAAAAGTGCTTTTTCATGTCAAATTTGATTTAAAGGAATTGAGCATGAGTTACTTATGCAGCTGTTATGATCAAACTATTGATTTGTGTATAATTGCTTGAGACTTGTAATATTTAAATGCCTCATGTAGCTAGAAACAAGGCTGAGAGACATTCAGAAATTGAACCTGGTCATGAAAACCAGTCATTTTTCCAACTTTGACAACTAATGTTCTCTGAATAATAAGAAGGCAAGATATAATTGCTCTGTTTTTTTGATTTCTCTTTTTTTCTTTTTTTTCAGTTCCTCCATTGGAGTGTACAGGAAGGCGTGTGCCAAAATTAAACAAAGCAGCAGCTGTAAATTAATCTGCTTTGATTTCAAATTCATTTTGGGAGCCGCGCTTTCATTCGGGCGTCTTCTGGCACGCTGTTTTGTGATGGGATGTTTTCCTGGGTGTTTTGCCAGTTTAGACATTTCTGACTCCCAACAGACAAACAGATCTGACTTGCTGGTCCCCGTCCAAGTGCCTTTGTTTACTTCATGTGATATCTTGCATTTCATACAAACCTACTGTCAAGAGTTACGTTCAAGTAACTTATTTTTTCAGAGTGCATTGGCCGAATCCAAACAATGTCCCAATAAAGCGTTGTAGCACGTGACTTTTTTGTAGGATTTTTTTCCTCCTCTTAACTTCTGAGCTTTGCAGGTGTGTGTGTAATGTTCTACCCCGAGACTCGGTCATGCACATGACAGTGTAAAGCAAAGTTTCTGCGTGCTTGGCTTGCCAGGTAGATAAACCTGTTTCCTTCTCTGCCCTGTTACACTTTGTGACTGTTGTGCATCTTGCTCAGGTTATGAAAACCTACCATATGTACAACGCAGACAGCATCAGCGCCCAGAGCAAGCTGAAAGAGGCAGAGAAGCAGGAGGAAAAGCAGATTGGGAAGTCGGTGAAACAAGAGGACAAGCAGACCCCACGCTCCCCCGACTCCACGGCCAACGTCAAGTTTGAAGAAAAACACGTTCGACGAAGCTCCGTCAAGAAAATAGAGAAAATGAAGGAGAAGGTACTGGTAGCACGAGGATGCACACGGATGGGAACACCTCGCTTGAAAGATCAGGACAAGTTTTAGATAAGCAGCCTTAAATTAGAGTCTAGGGCCAACACAACCAGATGAGCGAAGGGCAGAGCTGGTGTTGACTTTGGGCTACGTGGTCATGTTGAGCTTTGGGACTTACTAACGTGGCTGGGCTCAGATCTGTGCTGTGATCTAGGGTGGATTTGTACAAGTTTCAGTGGCAAGCAGTGCTTAAAGTTGCCACTCAAGGTGTGGAGGTAACTGAAATTACATCTTATTTATAAGTCACCTTACAATCTCATAAACCCACCTTGTTCCTCGTTCTTCCCTTACTCTCTGCCAATACCATAGTCAGGGTCCTCAGAGAGGACTAAAACTGCCTAGTACAGTAATATTTAGACCCTTCTAGGTAATTGATCTAAGCTTTAAGCCCTTGAATCCTGATAAAACCAGGATCCAGCTGAACTAAACAAATTATACGGTCAGGGTAAGAATTGTTCAGAACACTGCTTAGTGTTACTAAGAATGCTACTACTCCTTCCACAGCTCTTTTTAAAATAAATCCTGTCTTTGGTTTCTCTTTCAGCGCCAAGCTAAGTACACAGAGAATAGACTGAAGGCAATTAAGGCAAGAAACGAATATCTGCTGGCTCTGGAAGCCACCAACGCATCTGTATTCAAGTATTACATTCATGACCTGTCTGATCTCATTGATGTAAGTTCTGCTGCTTGGGTGACTGCAGTGAATATCGTTGTCATTAACCCTCACGTGCGCCTCTCCCTCAACGTGTCCTGTACACCCAGCCACGTCCTCAACCTCCGCAGCCTCGTGGTGCTTGATGGGCAGTTCAGGCAGGAGCAGTTGGCCTGATGATCAGGCATTAAGTTGTTAGGGGAGCTTTTCTTCGCTGGCTTCTGGAGCCTGTTACACGATAAACCTGGCACTGAAACGCCTAGAAGAAATTGCTTAGTTAAAGCGAAGCGCAGTTCTTGTATCCCTATTTGACATTTTCTATTCACTCTTTTAAGCAAACCCTCAAGATTATAATTCAGCATGTTTTTGACAAGAAAAATGATCCTGTAAAGCAGGATGCCAGTTGGTAAAAGAAATCAAGGACAGAAGCATTTTCCAACACAGCTTTTAACTTGCCTTGAAAAATTCCATACTTTTCAAGGTTAATGCTTCTCATAGTGTATTTCAGGAGGGGAATAAATCTCTCTGCTTCTTGGGCTGTCTGTTGTCTAACACCCCCACCCACTAGGTCTGCTGAAGCTTGATGCTTTTCTTTCTTGTGGCCCTGGGACTGCTTTGCAGACTGATGGGGAAAGGTGTCAGAAGAAGTGGCAAAAGCAAAAGAAACTGCTGCTGGCCACTCCCTGGACAAAGAAACAAGCAGATTTTTCACCATTTCCCAATTCACTCCTTGCAAAATTGCAATACTGAAGAGATGTGTTTCTTCTATACTTGCTGCCTCTTTAGGAGACCTTTCTTTCTGGGTAACATTTGTTAAACTTGAATTATGGCATTTGAAAACAGAGGGCTCTTCTCTTCTTGAACCTTCTCTCTGAGCCTATTAAACCACTGGCTGGCAAAGGGTTAATCAGCTGTCATCTTGGGAAGTGAATTTGAATGAGTTATCATTAAATTCTTATAAAAAATTGATTTCCTTGGAGAACGATTCCATCAAACATTTATATAACCCAGAAAAGGGATGGCAAGACTGATACTTCTATACATGCAGTGTGCTGGACTCTTAAAAATATTAAAGTGGGGGAGTGGGCTGAAAAATGTTTCCTATCACCGGCTTCAATAAAATAAGCTGGCAAAGTGTTTTTTCAGCTTTAATGTAGTCCTGCTGCCTAATGAAGTGGGCTATAAAATATTTAGTCCCACTGGCCTTTCCAGCCCCATCACAAACCCCTCTTGGGCCGCTGGTGCTTTGCCATGTGGATGCAGGTGACGGTGACCGTGTCACCCTGTTTGAGTGGGCAAAAGCATCGCTTGGCAGGGGAAAACGAGTGGCTGCTTCTATTAAATCTCTGCTGACTGCAGTGCTGGCTGCGCTGGTGGCCCAGCTCGGCCTGGCTGTCCCCAGATAGCTGCAGGGCAGGAACTGCCACGTGCGCAGGAGCAGGAGCTGTGATCCAAGGCCGTCCCGCACGTGCAAGTTCCCAATCAAGCATCTTTTGTTTTTCGCTTGTGTTTTTGTGCTTTCTGATTGAATGCAACGTCCTTTTCATTCCCTGCCTGCGGTCTCAGCAGCAACTGCAGCTCCTTTCCAAGGCTCCCCACCTGCCACAGCTTGTTGGCACCGGAGCCGGCACGCGGCAGCAGGGATGCTGCGGAAGCGGGAACGGTCCCCTAGTCACCCAGGCCCCCTCCATCTCCATCATGGGTTTTTTTTTCCTCCGTTTACTCACAATGACAGTGATGAGACCCAAATGATGGCTGAGGAGGAGATTTCATGTGATCTTTTTTGCTTACAGAGCAGCATAGCAATCAAGCAGATGGTCTCTTTCTTTCTTTTTGGATAGTCTCCTAGCATATGTAATCTTGCTTGTAATTCCAAGAAGGTGGGCTCCTTTCTCGCTCGGTTTATTAGATGTCTGAAAAAAAAATCGGTCTGTTTCTGATCAGCTAAAGAAAAGCCCTTTTCTCCCTTATGAAACATTAGGACTTGGCCGTGCGGCGCGGTGGAGGTGAAGCCGCTTGGTCGTCTGCCAGTGACATCATCCTCGTGTCAGCGAGAGCCAGGAAATTCTTGACCTTGACCACCTTGTGCTTGGAAGGTTTTTTTGCTCTTCTGTTTCACCCTAGTGGTGATGTCATCTCAACCCAGCACTGCTTGCTTTTTGGATTACTCCCTTCCTTCTGTTGGTGACTGTTCAGGTCGTATTCGTGCTGCCAGCAGCGTGCCGGATGAAGCAGTTTTTCTGTAGCTTGGATGGAATAGTGGTAGCTGCAGATTAACCTTTGCAGGTGATGCCGATGCTGTGGTTTGTTTCTCACGAGAGTACTTCAGTGCTTTGTCTTTCTTTTAGTTGGAATAATTTAGAACTTTTTTTATTTAAGGTTTTCATAGACTGGGTTCTGTTTACAGCGAAGACAGCTAGTCCAGATATCTCTGTGGTCAATCAGAGACCATTGTGGTACCTAGAAAATGGTGAAGTATCCCTTACTTACAGCCTCAGAAATTCTAATTTCACTTTCAGAGTTTCTTCTCTTATTCATATGGAATTGTGTGGCTTTTTCCAGCAGTGCTGTGACCTGGGATACCACGCTAGCCTCAACAGAGCACTCAGGACGTTCTTGTCAGCTGAGCTGAACCTGGAACAGTCGAAGCACGAGGGTCTGGATGCCATTGAGAATGCCGTGGAGAACCTGGACGCCAACAGCGATAAGCAGCGGCTCATGGAGATGTACAACAACGTCTTCTGCCCGCCCATGAAGTTCGAGTTTCAGCCCCATATGGGTGACATGGTCAGTTCACATCCTGCCTCTAGCTCCACAAACGCTCATTCTTCCATTTAGTTACATTTATACAGTTTAGAGTCTGTGTTTTTCCCTAGCACTCTAAAAATGCTGCATCTTTTCTTGCAGGAGTCGCAGCTATGTGCCCAGCAACCAGTCCAGAGTGAACTAGTGCAGAGGTGCCAGCAGCTGCAGTCCAGGTTGTCTACGCTGAAGATAGAGAATGAGGAGGTGAGCCCCCCAAAGCCAGCGCTTTCTGCTGCTTGCAAAGCCAGGAGGGCACTGCGAAAAGTGCAGTTGCTGTGATCCTATTTCATGATGGTTTGCAGTAAAATGCAGGAAGAAGCATCTACGGCCAGAAACATCCTGGTCCAATGCAACTTAAAAAAAAATAAATAAATAAATCCTTTTTCCAACCCTAAATTGATAGCACTGACCATATTTCAAATAGCTGAATCTGAATATCTAAAAAAAAGCAGTGTTTTGAAGTTAAGACACTGAATTCTGATAACATAAGGTAAGAGCTAGCTTTTGGTTCATCAGTCATCTAGGATGAGAGCACTCGATGAATGGCATTTGTCTGGGAACAGATCAAAATATCTGATCTGCAGTTCTATATTCAGGAATTTTTAATTTCTTCTGGGGAAAAAATGGCAATCCCTTTAAATATCCAGAGTTTTGATCTTGACCTTCAGGAAAAATTTACAGCACAGAGAAGCGCTGTTTTTAATCAGACCTTTGTTTGATGCCCTCCCGATGTACTTGCAGCAGATGAGCAGCTCGTTTTCCTCCAGCTCTCTGCTTGGAGGTTCAATCCTCCTATTTCTCACCCCAGCCCGTTGATTCCAGCCATGTTGGTGCTGCCTCGGGCTCCTGCCTCCTCTCTGCTGCCAGGGCCTGTGGTCTGTTAAGTAGCAGAGCTTGCACCCTAGTTATGGCCCACAGATCCCCAAACCAGTGATCTCTGTTCATTTAGTGAAATGCTCTGGGGTCCTCAATGCTTCTCTTTTCACCTACAAGATATTATCTTCACACTTAATAAAACGCTCATTCCTGAAGAAGACTATGGAAGCCACGCTGCAGACGATCCAGGATATCGTCACGATAGAGGACTTCGATGTCTCCGACTGTTTCCAGTACAGCAACTCGATGGAGTCCGTTAAATCCACCGTCTCCGAAACGTTCATGAGCAAACCGAGCATCGCCAAGAGACGGGCCAACCAGCAGGAGACAGAGCAGTTCTACTTCACGGTGAGCCGCTGAATTCAGCGTGTTCAGAGCAATTCAAAGCTTTGGGGAACTCTCTACCTATATTTGTAGCATTGTTAGCATTATTTTTACAAGGAAGTACAAAACCTTGTTGTCATCTTACAGAAATGGACCTGTAGTTGATTCTGGGCAAGCAGAGGTAGAATAATGCTTTTAAAAACAGGTGCTTTGGATTCTTTTAAATATATTGAGATGCCTTTGTCTGATAAAAGCTTTGTGCATAAGCTGAGTAAAATGTGTTTTTTTTTTTTTCTTTTTTTCCTCTTCTTATTTCTTTCCTAACAAAGGAATTGTCTGGGAAAAACTTACCAACTTGTAAATGTAGAATTTTGAAAAAGAATACAGGCTGAAAGAGCATTTATTTATTTTTGTTACCCTCTTCCAACTTCGGAAGTTCAAATAAGCTTTTAATAGAACTGATGCAATTTCACAAGGTGTACAAGATTTACAAGATGCTAAGAGCTTTCTGTAATGACTTTGATACCAGAATACATGGGTGTTTCTTTTTCCTTTAAATCTGTTTTATGCTGAGCTGTTGAATTCTCTTCTATTTAATTTTTTTTTCAAAATTATACAAAAAATATTACTACTTATCCTCACTACTTTCTGTCATTCCCTTGGGCATTTTTGCTATACTTACTGTCCTTTAAGGTCCTGCTCCAAGAATGGTGTCACTTGTTAAAATAGTGAATTTCTGTGCAAATTGCACTGGCGGATGGGATGGCTTTTGTCAGGGCTGGCCTTATTATAGGCTTATCGTCGAGTTTATCATTTCCCTGGACAAGTGCTTAAAAAGCTTAAAATAACCCATTAAATTAAAAAACCTTCTTAGAAGGTGATGCTGGCTATCAAGAAAAGTGGGCAGGGAAACGGATTCAATTAAGAAGGGATTAACCAGTCTGCCTATGATTATGGAAGTAGAAAAATGGTTTTTTAATTGGACTGTAAGCGTTCTCTCCCTGGAGAAGGACTATTCCGTGTTCCCGTGCGCGCGGAGGAGCCGCAGCCCGCGCTGGGCTTGGGTGCAGCAGTTTTCCCATTCCACAGGGCTCCCATGCAGCCAGGCGGGAAGCCGCTGTCCCCCCGGGCAGAGGGGCTATTTGTCACGTCAAACCCGCCCGGATGAAATAACTATTCAGCGCGACAACACTGATATACGAGGGGCTTCTCTAAGCAGCCTAATCGCATACGTGATTGATCTGCGATTGGGCAGAGCCATAAATATCTTTTATAGGAATTTCAAGCTTGGAATCTACAAGGAGCAGTTATCTCCGTGCCTGAGGAAGGCAGTCGGTGGGTGCTAATGAGGATGAGGAGGGAGCTGGGCGGCAGCACGGGCGGGAGAGAGTCCGATCCCCTCGTGCCCGTTGCAGGCTGAGCGTGCAGAGGGATGGGAAGTGAAGGAGCGGTGCTTGTTTGAGGAAAATAATCCCTCGTGGCGCGGAGCAGAGGTTGGGAGTTGCAGGTGCTGTGCTGGTGGCTGGCAGGCCTCTTAGGTAAGCACAGGGAAGCTGTTGTGGGGCTTTAATTTAAGGAGAGCTGGTTACAGTGTCCGTATGCTGGCAGGATTCCTGCCTCCGCTGGAGGTGTATCCTGGCCTGTTTGCACCAGTCATAGAATCACAGAATGCTTAAGGCTGGAAGGGACCTCTCGAGGTCATCTGGTCCAACCCCCCTGCACACGCAGGGTCACCTGGATCACGTGGCACAGGACTGCGTCCAAGCGGGTTTGAAGATCTCCAGGGAAGGAGACTCCACAACCTCTCCGGGCAGCCTGTTCCACTGCTCTGGCACCCTCACTGTTAAAAAATTTTTCCTTAAGTTCTTGTGGAACTTTTGGTGCTTCGGTTTGCGTCCATTACCTCTAGTTCTGCCGGTGCACCAGTGAAAAGAGGCCGGCCCATCCTCCTCACGGCCTCCCTTGAGGTACTTCTAGACACTGCTCAGGTCCCCTCTCAGCCTTCTCTTCTCCAGCTGAACAGGCCCAGCTCCCTCAGCCTCTCCTCACAGGGCAGATGTTCCAGGCCCCAAAGACGCTTCTTCGAAGGAAGCTGCCCCAAGGCAGGGAGACGGGAGCTCGTTTACGTTTCCTCACATCGGGCATCGCACAGCAGCAGATCCTCGCTGATTTACGGTGTGAAATTGTGTGATTTAGGTGTCCTTGGTGCCCGGCCGCAGGTAGTGCAGCCCCACTGGGATGGAGGCCGCGTGTTCAATGCAGAGGGGGCCACATCTGTCTGGGAAGGGGGGCCCTTCCTTTCAAAACGCGGGGGCCATTGGGATGTAGACGGAGCGCAAGAAGGACCGAGCTCAACGTTAGCATCTGCTTCAAAGGGAGGCCTGTGTCTCTCCCAGATCGAGTTGATTTGCAGATCTTTAAGCTTCTGTTTGAGCTATTTTGAGATGAGCCGTGTAGCGCTGTCTGCCTGCTCTTGGTTTCGAGACAGGCAGCTCAGCATCTTCCAGACTCACATCTATCCTCATATTCCCTCTTCAACTTCTCTGGTTATTTTGGCAATGTACACTTTTCTTTTTTTTTCTGCTAAATATTTGATGCAAAAACGTAACTGCTTTAGGGAAAAACACATAAGTGGGAATTGGAAAGCAGGTTGGATAGGGAAATACTGAAAAAACAAAGAAAAGACCTCAGTGCAGCCGTGTCGGCTGCAGAGGCCTCTGGCAGGGCCCTGCCGCGCGCCAGGACGAGCAGCACCGCGCTGAGGTGCAAAGTAGGAGAGGAAGGAGGTGCAAAAAACAGCATTTGCAGAGCCGGGAAAAATCCGAACCAGGTGGGAGAAGTGGTTATATAACGTGTGCTGCCCGTCCGGCGCGGAGGCAGCACCGTCCAGCGGCGCTGGACGAGGCGAGTGGGGTGAGAGAGGCCAAGTGAGAGGAGAGCCGCAGCAGCAGCCTCTCAGTTTGCCCAAATGGCCCCTCCAGCAGTGCAGGGCGGTGCAAGGGGCAGCCCCAGGGGGTCCCTGTGGATCCTTTGCAGCCCCGTGCAGCGCGGGTGACTCGGTGCCACCTCGGCCTCGTACTCAGCGCCCCGCGGGACGAGGAGGCAGCAGAAGCCAGAGCTTGTCCCCTGCTCACGTCGCTTTCTTTCCACCTCCCCAGAAAATGAAAGAGTACCTGGAAGGCAGGAACCTGATAACGAAGCTCCAAGCCAAGCACGACCTGCTGCAGAAGACCTTGGGAGAAAGTGAGTGTGGCCCCGCGCGCCCCTGTGGAATTAGCTGACGGAGCAGGATGCTCCTGGATTACTGACGCTGCCTGGATGCGTTCATGTTTTATGAATTTATTTTGACCTGTGTGCTGCAGAAGCCAAATGACCTACATGGCTGCTTGAATAATGATGAAAGGCAAATGCTTAATGAGTCACTAATGTGCCTCGCTTATTTGTTTAAATGAAGCATGTACCCCCCGCGCGCGGCAGAGCCTGTGAGTGGCAGCTCCCTGACGAGCTGGGGAGCGGCGCCTCGTTAGGCTGCTCCCCAGGTTCATTTGCATGGTCGATTAGTGCTCCTGACCCCAGTGCAGACCAAGCCCGGGCGTGTGAGCACAGCACAAGCAAATTGCAGAGCGGGGAAAATACGGGGCCCATCCGCAGGCCACAGGCAGCAGCCACAACCCCCGGCGCCTTCGCTTTTGGGGTGCCAACAAAGAGGGGCTTCGTTCCCTCGTGGCACGGGCACATCCTGCTGCCCAAACACCCCTCTTCAACAGCGCATCCAAGTTTCCATAGAAACCTGCCCGCCCGGTGTTTGTGGAGATGGTTTAACAGTGTAAATGTCGGGTCGGAAAATGGCTCCGCTCCTCCCCGGGTTTGTATCCTGCAGCAGGGCTGCTTCTTATTTCCTTTAGTAACTAAACTGGACTCCCCACAGTTTATGGTGTTTTCCGAATGAAAACTTAAACAGCATGTGGGCTTTGAAGTGCTTTGCTTTCAGGTTAAAAATGTTTTATAAAAATAAAATAGTTATTGCTACAGTAATTAAGAGTTGCATGTTTATCGGACTCAAGGCACTAGCAGATAGGAAGAGCAGCCTGACCCAATCTTTAGTCTTTAGGGTTTGTTCTCTTTTGGGCTGCCCTGTGACAAGGGTGGGTGAAGTCAAAGCCCTTAGGGTGCTTTTCTTCTGCCTCTGAATATCTCCCAATGACACCCGTGCTGCCCTGTGACTAATCACATTCCTGGATCGGAGCTGACCTCTGCATACCGAGACCTAGTTCCTCTTAACCTGCCTGCCCTTTGAGCCGATCTCAAGCTGTGGTGGGGCAAAAGAGAAGGAAATTTAATGCAATTTCCGTATTACTATGCAGATTTAAAGGCTTTTTTTTTTCTTTTTTTTTGTGCTCGCTTTGCAAAAGCAGAGCTTTCTCGGCCCTTCTTGTGAAGGGATCCAGTGTGTGCCAGGGTAAGCTCCAAAAATGTTCGAAAAAAAGATCACTCCTGTCAGCAGGGAGCTGAGGCAGTGAGGTACAGTTTTAAGTTAAATTAATGGTACAAAACCGGGTTCACTTCTAGTCCTATTCATAAAATGTCACTTAAGTGGGATATGGGCAAATAAAAATCCTTTCAGGAATCCCAGAAATATTTTTAGAAGCTTAATTGAAAAAAAGATACCTACAGCTGCCTATGTTCAGGCCCAGGAAACCTCAGGTTTTTGTTACAATTTTTATTCTTTGCTCTTTCCTTAGGTGGCATTTATTAGATCTCTTGCAAATTACCTTAATCTAAAGAGGACGATTTCTAGTAATAAAAATAACAGCAAGTCTTCCTATCTACAAGCAATTATGTCCCTGCCTACTGTACACATTTGTCACTGTAATGTAGGAGCCCCTTGATCTTGCCACAGTCATGTAATTTATATATATGAATATTCCATGATGGAGGTGAGACAGATGGTTGGAAAGTCTGCCTTAGAATAACATTTTCATGCAAATCATGCACTGTTTCGGCTTTACGGGGGGCGAGGAAAGCGGCTCTCAAGATGTGCTAAACTAATTCTCAGCCATCAGCAATTAGACATTTCCCTGCTTCATTCCTCCATCTCCCCGGGAGCAGGAAGATGCTGGAGGGAGGATGGGTTTCCAGCTGGTGTAAATCCGTGGGGTTTCGCTGGGAATGATGTGTTCCAGCCAAAGATGTGGCCTGTGCCATTCCCAAGGGCACACGCCGGTGTTCCATCCTCCTCACGCCTTGTGCTGTTCTCCAATGATGCCTGTGTTGATGGTAGCCGCTAGCTTGGCTGCATCCTTGCAAAGTTGGGGCACATTAATGGACACTCTTGCAAATGTTTGTGGAAAATATCATTAAACCCCTCTCTGCCCTAATAGCTTAATGCTAGCACGGCCAGGCTGGGGGCTAACAAATCTCTGCGTGTTTGCAGTGTTGTTAAGTGGCTTTATAAGTATAATCTATCTCCCTGCTAATTCCGCTGGGGAGGAGGAGGGAGGGAGAGGTTGACAAGCCCGGGTTTTTGGCAGTGCAAGTCAGCAATTACAACGTGCAGGGAAGCAATTTGCAGAAACAATACTTCCCAAAGAAGAGTCCTCCAGCAGCCCGCGCTTCCCGGTCGGCACCGCGGGGCCGTGCCAGCAGGGAAGCTCCCGCGCTCCGACCGGGAACGACGCGGCCCTCCGGCTGCTCTTCTTCCTCGCAGCTCATCTCAGCCTTCCTCAAACAGGAGATACGCATCACTCAAGGGTGTTTGCCCATCCCTTTGCCCTAATGCTGTATTTATTTGTCTTCCCAACAGGTCAAAGGACGGACTGCTCCCTTGCCAGGTACGTGCGGCTCGGAGAATCCGTGTTTTGAGGAAAGGCTGCCACAAACTGGTCACCGCCAAGCAGGATCAGATAGCAGCCCAAGACACGTGTCTGTTAGAAAAGGACATTCACTTAGCTAATATAAAAGCAAATTCCTGCTAGTTAATCTGGCATTAAATATCACTGCTGTTATCTGCATGGGTGCAAGGTGATTCATAAATCAGTTGGACCCCGGTCACCTGGGGAGGAGGGTGTTTTGTTTGGCATGGAGCCTGCTCCAGCCTCATGTTTCTGGCTGGCACCCGTGTGCCCCGCAGCTCTGGCCGTACCCCGGTTGGTCTCGAAACAGATTTGGGGTAAAAATAACTAAGGAGAGGAAAAGGCACTTGGGTATCTTGTGTAGTTTCTTTCTTGCCCCCACTGCTTTTAAACTAGCCCCGTCCCTCAGTGTCTTGCTCCGACACTGAGCTGGATTGCAGCAATAAGAGGCCACGGAGAATAAAATTTCCATTTATAATTAACACCCATCTCGCAGTGTCATGAGTAAGCTTATTTTGATGGTGTTTTTATTAAACATAAAAAGTCTCCATCTCCAAATTGATGGATTCAGGGGGCACGAGGAGCTGAAGTGAGGGTTGTGCATCATCATCCTGCTGGTTTAACACCAGGCAGGTGATTGCTGCCCATCGGCATCATTCCTCCTTTTCACCCTCCTTGCAGCAAAGCAGGGCTGACAGGCCCTAATAAGAGTCTGACATCTGTAATAATCAAATATTATTCATCATGAAACAACTGTAAATATCCAAGAATCATTGCAGCTAATAGTTTAAAGCAACCTTATTACCCGTGACAGCCCATGGAATCAGATTTCTTACTTTTTTTTTTTTTTCAATTTGATGTTTTTGCTTTTTCTAACAGGAATTTCTGCTGAATTAACACATTGTACTGTCTTCTTAAAAATCACAGTTCTAATCACCTTATTTATAATTCAGCAGCCATCTGCCCTAGCAGGGAGTTGGCTTGAATGATACATTAGGCCTTTCTACCATTCTCTCTCCTGCTTTGTGTTTAGCAGGAACTATAGGAATTTTAAACCTCAGTGATAAATTTGAGGAGAAAACCCTGGCAAAGGAAGACTTTCCTTTTTATCTGCAATTAACATCTACCACGATTCTAATGGTAATCATGGTATAAACTGGAATGGTTCTGGCTGGCTGGTGCCTGGCGGTGCTCTGGTTTGTTGCTTTTATTTTTATTTTTTATTGCCTATCAGAAACTATAATAAAGAATCCCCAATGACAGTTGTTAACAGCACAGTGGGAAGCCAGCACGTTCCCACCTGCTTCTCCCTCTGCAAAATGCCTCCTTGGGAGAGGTGCTATCTGCAATTTATAACAAACTTCATCTTGAGCATGGAGCCCTGTATAATAGGTCTCCATACGGTTGGAATTAAAATGTCAAGGATAATCTTTTGTCAAAGCCGTAGGCTCCCTTGTGCCTTTTTCAGTATTTTAGTGATTTAAAGTCACTTAAAATTTTTCTGAGGTTCCATAAATTGGATGAGACTAAGTCATTATGACTGACTCGTGTAGCTGACTTCTTCCCTCCTCCAAAGACAGTGGAGCCTGGAATATCAAATGAGAAGTTGGGTGATGATGGAGGGTTGTGCTGACGTGTCTGTTCTCTCTGTTTTTTTCCCTCCTCCTGCAATGGGTGGTTTGGATCGTGTAATCAGTGGCAGGCGCAGCTCCACTATAAGGAAGCAGGTAATAAACGTTCCTTGAGTAATAAACTGTGTGTGTGTTCGGGTGTAGAGGAGGAGGGATGGAAAGCAGGGAAGTTTCCACCCCCCTTTCCCTCTCTACGTGGGCATTTTCATTCCTATTTGGCTGCTGCCCCTGATGTTCAGCATCGCTCTCGGGAGCTGCGCGGCACAACAAGGGCGATTTCATGGGGCTTTTGCTAAACGCTACTTCCCGCTCCAATTAAATTTATTTCTTCCTTTTGCCCTGGTGTTTATGTGCTACTCTCTGGGTGAATATATGGGACTACTTTGTCCCCCCGATGCCCCTCCTGGCTGCAGTCTGCATGTGTAATAACCCTGAAAGTTCTCAGGCTGCTGGGCAGGGTTTATGGGCTTCGTGCTGTTGTATGTCACTGTCTCCTCTCCCTTTATTTTTGCCCCTGTGCCTTTGGAATGCTATTAAACTTGTAACCGCTTGCTCTACCTTCCTGTAATAAAAGCTAACACCAGCCGTGCTTTATTCCCCCCGCTTCCCTGGCCATCGTGGATGATCTATTACTTTCTAGTACCTAATGAGCTAAAGCATGTCCCTTTCAGAGGGAGGAGAAGCAAAATTAAATGTCCTTTGCACATCTTAAAGAGCAAGTGTTGCTTAGTGTTTCATTTCATACAATCTCTTTGGATTTTGCTTTGTTGTTTTCAAGATCTGCATGTACTGGAAATAGTAAGCAATAATAGAATAATAATAATAAGCAAGCAACAGTAATAAAATAAGCACAAGTAGGAGAGTAAGTTATTTTCCATCCTGGAGTCCCTGTTGTAACAAGATAAACTATTGCATGTGACTGCAGGGAAGGCTGACCGTGTGCTTTACAGCTTTGCTGGCATTTGAGTTGGCAGGCAAAAATGCTTGGGCCTGGCTGTTATTTTGAGCAGTAAATACACGTTCCACATAAAATGTAATGTGATGTTTGGGAAGGCCAGTGTTCGTGTGGCCTCTGGGGAATTCTGTGTCCTCTTGCGGTCCGGAGGCTGCAGACTGGACCTTGGTTAACGCAGGGAGGGAGGAGTGAAGTGTCTCAAGGTGATCTGGAAGGTTTTCTCCTCCGCTAAACTGCTAACATATACGTAGAAAACTTGCATTTCCTATTGTATGCAGAGATTAATTTTGAGGTCAATTATTGTTGCTCTGTTTATGCTCAAAAACATTCCCTCCTCATACAAAAACCAAGATGTGCATTTTTGACTGCCGGTTTCCCGAGGAGCTTTCGAGGTGTCTCCCAAGCACATTCTGACTGGAGTACAACTGACACACCGGTCTCTGTGATTTGGAAACCTAAATGAAAACCTAATCTGTTTGGAACACCCGCATCTCTCTGCAGCTCTCCGTAGCCTACATGAAATCACTTGCCTGTGGTGGTAATGGTTTTTTTTTGAGTGTGACCTAAGCATTTAAAGCATAACTGCTCTGAGATTCTTAATCTCTGCTGGGGACCCAGAGCGTGTGCTTCTCCATGAATTCCTCTTGTCAAACTCTAGGAGCCTGGGCCTTTATAATGCTGTTTGGATGATTATTAATAAAGCAGATCCGTGGGGGCCCGTTGAGCTGCGCAGCTCCCCGGCTTCTCAAGGGCTCTTAATTGGCTGGCGCGGAGCTCCAGCGCGTGCAGGAAACGAGTTCTGTGCCGACCACGGCTAATTAGGAGAGGAATTATTAATAGAGACTTTGTGATCAAATTCGGTGGCATTTCATTAAAACAAAAAATGATCAAACCGAAACTAGGGAAGTGATGGCCGGGGCGTCGTGGTTTTGGGCAGAGGCCGGTCCCCCCGAGGCCGTTCTCAAGAGTGAGGGCGACGCGAGTGCGATGCGGCAGCTTCCCAGCAAATGAGTTTTGGGGTGTCCTTCAGTCGTTGTTGTCCAAAACTGCTGGAGGAGGTGCTATATGCAAACAGAAACAGGGACGTTTTAGTCACGGAGAAATACTAATCGCTGGCTTTGACACCAGCTCTGCATTTTAACTGCTTTTTCATTTAATTCTTCTCTGCTCAGGACTCCAGCCAAGCCATTCCCCTGGTAGTGGAGAGCTGCATACGATTCATTAGCAGACACGGTGAGTTTATAGACCCCAAAATCAAATCCTGGATTGTTTGTTCACATGAGCAGTGATGAGGAAGCCTGGGCAGGGATCCTTGGACCTTGCTTTGAAAATTCTGCTGCTCATCTTTCATGTACCAACAAAATGATGATGACAGTTAATTAAAATATCTCACCTACTGGATAAATGACATAAACGATTTTGTTTATGCACGCTGTTTCCCAGGAATGTCTTAAAGGCTATTCTAGAATCCTAAATATCAGGGCATTTTAGGGTAATTAAATGCTTCAATTCCAATGGCCTAATTTGCTCTGGGCCTTTCCAGTATTGCTCTTTAAAAACAAGCTGTTTTACTGTGTAGTTAGCTATATTTTACTTCTGGCTGGTGTGCCATTAGTTCATGACTTTCTCTGGGTTGGAAAATCCTCCAGGGTGAAAGATAAAACGCATGGATGTTATAACCAAGTTGTTCTGTGGGCGTCCTAGGAAGGGTTAATACTTCTCCTCAGGGGTGCCAGAGTTCTGTTTTTCCGTGGTCTGCCTGTGGCTGGATGTTTAAGGGAAGATGGCTTTGAAAAGAGGATCCTTTGCCTGTGTTGCTGTTTCCTTCATCATGCTGTACTTGATGAAGGTCCCAGCTTAGCTTATGTCAGTTGTTATCAACGTCCCTTATTGTCTTACAGGGCTGCAGCATGAAGGAATATTCAGAGTGTCTGGGTCACAAGTTGAAGTGAACGATATAAAAAATGCATTTGAGAGAGGTAAGGAGGATCTGTTCCAGTATATCCAATTAATACTTTGCCAAATGTATTATTTGTTAAGCAGCTGTTCCAAAATAGCTTAAGTGTGTTGAATGCAGTTTACTATATCCTCTTTTAATTTTTTTCAAGCTTTGTAACAGACTCTCGCCAGGCGCTTCTGTAGCATTCATTAATATTGAATATTCAAGGCATTAGGCTTTATGCCTTGGAGTGTCTGTTTAATAAACATTCTGCATTCAGTCATCTGTCATGTCCGGTAGCTTACGGGTTGTTTGCAGCACCAGAGGGTTCAGAGGGCTGCACCGCTGGGCACAGCTGCAATGTCCCTGTCCCCTGCAGCTCTGTGAGCAGAGCACGTGCTAGAGGACGAGCTCGGTGCATCCTGTGCTCCCGAGATGCAGCTCGGCCGCGCTGCTTCCCACAGGAACCTCCAAGCCTGTTCTTGGCCTGTCTTCCTCAGGAACAGATGAAGCAGGAGCGGGTATGACAAGCCGCAGGTTGAAGGCCCTGATATCAGCCTCAAAGATCCTTTTTAAAAAATAAATGACAATACCAGACATCCTGAGAAAATAGCCAGTTGTTTCAGCACTAACATGCAGAAAGTTATTTTTTCTAAGCTTCATCTCACCTATCGCTGTAAAGCACATGATATACAGAACTGACAAATAATGTCTCTGCAGTTTATTACTTCACCCAGAACCCTTGGTGGCAGTTAATATCAAGCATAATGCGCTGGTTTGTAGTGGCCCATTTATTATCCCGCGTGTTATTAAGATAATAGGCAAGCTTTGGTAATCTCAGTCACATAATGGATATATATAGCTTCAATTTGAGATTTGCCCCATCGTTAAATCTAATTATATCTGATAGGGAGTTTTCCCTAGGGAACAACTCCTTAAGCAGGCATCTTTTCTTTTGTAACATAGACAAACTGTGACACATCTGTAATGACAAATTGTAGTTCCCAGAACCCTTTTTTTCTCTTTTTTCCCCTCCCCTTCCACATAATTCAACACAAGCTGCTTGCCTCTTGCTGAGCCTCGTAAAGATGCTCGTTGCCCCATTGTGTAGGCAGAGTCCAGGCCAGGCTTCATTTGAGAATTTGCAGAGATTCCCAGGCTTGTGCTATGTTTCTCTCAATGGTGACTCCCAAATTCAGCCCCTACCTGAGTAGAGCTCAGAGCAATCCGCAGGGCAGGGAGTTCCCTCTCCTCTCCATGTTGGTTTTAGTCTCATTGAAGTAGGTGGGATTAACTGCTACTTAAATCCTTTCCTACAGCTGAGTTGCCACCTTCCAGCTTGATTCCTTTCTCCAGCATTTTGTTTTTTCTTAACTGACCTTATTTTTCTTCTGCTTGTACCTTAGGGGAGGATCCATTGGCTGGGGACCAGAATGACCACGACATGGATTCAATAGCAGGTGTCTTGAAGCTCTATTTTCGAGGACTGGAGCACCCCCTCTTCCCCAAGGATATCTTTCATGATCTGATTGCCTGTGTCAGTAAGTATACAAAGATCTGGAAAGGAATTTGAATGATTTTTTTCAGCCTTGTCTTCCACCTATCCTCCCTTATCTTTATCAAGAACAGCCTGTTGGTGGTTACTCTACTTGGCTTTGGGCTGCACTGTTACCCTAGTGTCTGTTAGGCCATATGCATCAGCCAGCATCAGGACAGGTATTTTCATAGCAGTCTTTTAAAGATGAGGAAGAAGATAGAAATGAGCAGATTTTTCAAGAGCTATAGCATGTATTTTTCTGAGACAGCGCTTCACGACAGCATTCTGTGCTTAAAGAATAAAACAAAAGACTTCCCCTTCTGAAAAATAATCTCAAGACCCGTGTTCAGAGGTTCCAGAAATGCCTTCACAAAAGCCTGCACCTGCAGCAGGGTTTTGCTGCCCCGTGTGCTTTCCCTCGTGTTCATAGCTCTGCTGCCTCAGCTGCTTTGCTGCCTATTTAGCCAGCAAGGTGGTCATTATTTGCCTTTTAACTCCGTCAGCATGAGAGTCCCTTTATTGACTCTTGTTACAGGATATCAAACACGAGGGTGATCACAGTGCAGTTGTTAACATCTTTGTTTTTAAAAATGGTTTTGGGGACAGCGGGTTGTGTTTTTGTGTTTGTACTTGGACAACCCCTGTTTCAATGGCCCGACTGTTGCCACATCACTCTGAATCAGAGAGCAGTTCCCCTGTCCCTCACAGGGGCAGCCTTTGAAGCTGAGCAGAAGATAACTGCTTCTAATATGATTTGTGGTTTTCTTCTCCTGATAAATGCATTTGCAGACTTGAATTCACATTATATGAAAAGAAAAATCTACTTCCACATAACTTTGCTCTTCTGAGATGATTTATGCTGCCCACTTATTTCTCAGTAGGCTGCTGCACACACAGCTTTTTGCCTCACCCTTTAACTATGCTAATCTGCCTTTGAGTCTTAAATATTTTTTTTCTTTAAACACCCACCTTTCTAAGCTGACTTGAATAAGCTATTGTGTCGGAGCTATTGAGACAGATGACATGCAGGGCTCCCACGCTAGGAAGGAGCTCGCAGCCAAGGTTTGTGTGTTAGGAGCCTTCGTTGCGGAAGGCTCTGCAGCCTGCGCGTTCCCACCTCGGGGACAGCCGGGCGTCCAGGGAAGGGGCAGACCCTTCCTTGTGCTGCCTTTCCTTTCTAATAGTTTGCACATCACAGTATATGGTTGTATACTGGGTGGCAAAATGTGGGTCTGGTGATGTAGTAACTCTGGTGCCCTTTCTGCCTTTCAGCGATGGATAACTTGCAAGAGAGAGCGCTGCACATCCGGAAGGTCCTTCTGAACTTGCCCAAGACCACTCTGATTGTAATGAGATACCTCTTTGCATTCCTCAATCAGTGAGTATCCGCAGGAGCCCCGTGGTCCTGCTCTAATAACTTGGAGTGAGCTGAGTGACAGAATCAGCCTGGACGTTGCTGTATGAGCTCTGAGCCCCAGGCCAAGGTGCAGGTGTCGCTGCAGAGGACTCTTGCATCTGTTTTGCTGACTTGCAGAGCCTCACTGAGATTTATCCTCATGATAGCACTGCAGCTCAGTGGAGCTCCAGAAATGAACATGAATAATTTGCTGGTAATTCAGGCAAAAAATGATACGAGGGAATTGGAAGCTAGGTCCCACACCAGCAAGGAGTCGTGTATACTAAGTGGTGAGAGTGCTGCAGAGTGAGGTTATTGTATTTTTAAACACTCTGCTACATCTGGCTGATTCATCAGGCAGTTTGACAGCAAGAAGTCAATAGCTTCTTCCAGTAGTGTGGTCTTGACACCTGAGGGATAGCATAAAGGAAAAACATCCTAGCCAGAAGCATAGCAGGATTTAAACATTCTTTGCTCCCTGTTGAGGTTGGTAGTGTTGAGTGGAAATGTGCTGCTGATATCCTTCATCTTGTTCATCCTACAGCAAGAACAAAAGAAAAGGAGTGTCTGCATTAGGGAGTATTTTAAACCTACAGAGGAAGGTTAAACTATAAACAGGGATTTGAGCAAAGCTGATATCAATATACCCTGAATTTCAGCAGTGGCAAGTCCCCTTAAAACTGTCAGGCAAACTTCCAGGTCTGGGTACCTTTGAACACTAGGGAAGAATAGCTTTAGAACAGTATTTTCCAATCTACTTTTAATCATCACTTAGCCTATCAGAAATTGCATGTTTAAAATAAGGTAATAAGAAATCATGGCTGGTCATTAATGAGTAGATATTATTTCTACATAAATTGTCTGCCCCATGATTAGTGGAGGCTGTGATAAAAATACAATCAGCTTCACATATTTTGGATCTGAACTTGAGAGAAAACTGCACAAAATTCCTTTTTGTTAATGAGATTTTGGCAGTATGGAAGACTGTTTTCTCATCCTCTTCCTTGTGATGGATTTAATGTTGCAGTTGTGCCATAATTTGAGGTTTCTGCTATAAATAGGTTCCCCAGGAAAATGGCACATCTCGTCATTTCTTGTACCTCCAGGGACTTGGAGCTCCCCAGATAAAACAGCGCTTCCCTTCATGGCTCTGACTCTAATTCAGTGCTGGAGCATTTAGCTTCCAGACTAGTTTAAGCTTCCTGTTTGTATCTAGTTAGAAGTTCCCCCTGAGAAATCCTCTTGACTCGCTTTGCAGAGCGTTTGAGACGCAGAATTTCTCGCAGAAGCTGCAGCTTCACCTCGCTCCTGATCTGGCTGGGAGACTTCAGCCACTCTGAACACGTGCTGAAAATGCTGGTGCACCCCCCACACTGAATAATGCACTGGGATCTGCTTGGGGAGCAGGACAAGGTGCTGTTCTCTGCTAACTCTACTCTTCCCTTCTGTCTTTTGCAGTTTATCTCAGTTCAGTGAAGAGAATATGATGGATCCCTACAATCTCGCCATCTGCTTCGGGCCAACGTTGATGTCTGTGCCTGAAGGTCACGATCAAGTCTCTTGCCAGGCTCATGTCAATGAGTTGATCAAAACCATCATCATCCAACATGAGAACATCTTCCCGGGACCAAGGGAGCTGGAGGGTCCGGTCTATAGCAGAGGTGGAAGCACTGAGGATTACTGGTATGATAGCCAAAGAAAGGATGTGTGTTCAGTTTCTGATGAGTGTGCTGTGCTCATAGCCATTCTGTGTTGTGTGGTGCTGGATTCAGACACTCAGGGTCTGTATTGGGAAGAGAAGATGTCTTTGGTGTCTCTGGAGACCCACCACTAACAGAAGTGCTCACCTGTCTTGAAGGGGAAGGCTTGACAGAGATTTTTTTTGCATTTTCTGCTATGGTAGCTGCCACCATTTCCTTGGGAAAGACAAACTGATGCACCAACTACTGCTAATGCTTCCATGCGACTGTTTTCTCCCCCTCTCTCTCTGCCATTGACATTCTCCTGCCTCTTTTGAGTGACTCTGCTTCAGACAGGGGTCACTTGCAGCTGAACCTAGAAAGCTGCGGCGCGGTTTAATTTTCAGGGCAGCTCTGATGGGGGAGGGAGGAATGCGAAATCACCATTTCCATCCAGCTCAAAGCTCCAGAGGCCTGGCCGCGTGCGCAGCCTGCAAGCAGCATCTGGAAGCAATTCAGCCCGAGCGGCTCCTGTCATCTGGGGTGGAAGGTTGGGAGTGGGGGAAGGAAAGGAGGTGTTTTCTTTTCTACTGGCCAAGTTGATCTCTCCCACTGAAAATGAGGAATGTTAAAGCGCGTCCTCCGCCTCCCCTCTTTCCCCTTCCCTGTCCCAGGAATGCAAATGATTATTTTCCTATATTAAAATAAATACGTTTTAGAAATGGGGCTGCTCTGGTGACAGAGCGGGCCTTGTTTTCCCGCTCGCTCCATGCGCGCTGGCGGAGCGGCTGCTGCGGGTGCACGAGGAGGAGGATGAGCACGAGGAGGAGGATGAGCACAAGGAGGAGGATGAGCACAAGGAGGAGGATGAGCACGAGGAGGAGGATGAGCACAAGGAGGAGGATGAGCACGAGGAGAAGGATGAGCACGGCTGCTCCCAGCCCTGCTATGGGGAAGGGGGAAGCAGGCGAGAGGGGACCCCCATGTTTCTTAGGTGTGTTGAGAGCAGTGAGACCCCAGCGTCACGCTGACCTCCCTGCCTTGCTTTAGAGGAGAGCAGAGGAGGACGGTGACCCTGCCGAGCTGCTCAAAGGGAGGACACTGCACCTCAGCGACCGCTTATTTTAACCACTGCTAGGCCAGGGGGCCGATGGGGTTATTACAGTCTGGAAAGAAGCCCAGGTCGCCTTTAATGCGAGTCGCAGGCAGGCGTGGGGCTGGACTCAGCCCCTCTCTGCTTCGTCCCGTCACCGATCCTGCCTTTCTTCTCCTTTTTCCCCTTTTTTCTCCTCAATGGGAGCAGCACCGGCCGCGAGGCCTCCCATCCAGCTGCGCCCGCTCCACGCGGTGCCTCCAGCACAGCCAGGGCTTCTCCTCCGGCTCCTTTCGGCCTGTCTTGAGGGAGCTGCTCCCGGGACTGCTTCCCGAAACCCGGCCTTCTTGCGCCCCTTGTTCCTGTAGGCGCTTCCAAGGCTTTTCTTGGTGCAAAACGCTCAAGAGCTCTCAGGATTTGAGGTGCTCTGTAAAGAGGGATTGCAGTCGGGTCAGCTGGTGACGGGAGTCACTTGGTGAAATGCGTGGGACACTCCAAGTTTGTGATGGAAGGGAAGGAGGGGGATGACCAACTTGGACCTGGAAATGTCTGTCTGCTCGAGCAAATAGGCAGCTTAGCTTCGTTTTTGGATGTACTGACTTGTGTGGCACAGCAAGAGCCTGGCTGGGGACATCCCGTGTGCATGCTCCCGTCTCCGAGCTACCCGTGCGCTTCACAAGCAAGGAGACTCAATTTCAACCAGTTTAAAGCACTCCCTGTGTTTCCTTCTGTTGCAGTGAAAGTCCCCATGGGGAGAGGGCCTCCACGGAAGACTCGGTGCAGGATGTCACAGCTGAGCACCACACCAGCGACGACGGTAACGCGGAGCCTCTTAGCCCCTTCCATAGGGACCCTGGTGGGGGGTGGAGGATGAAGCGCCTCGTGGTTGAAATCCAAAGTTAACTCCAAAGTTTGTCACAGTAGTTGCTTGAAATGCCACAGGCAGCGTTTGATGCCAAAACGCACAAGGTACGGACTCCGCAGGAATATTTAGAAGTTGCCTGTCTATTTTTAAAGTCTCCCTTTTTCCAAGGGTCCCTCGCCGTAGTGCAGTGCCCTGGGCACTCAGCAGGCTGAGCTCATCTGCGCCGTAGCGGGATCTCGGAGCTGGAAACCATGAGCTAAGTGTGGAGCCAGAGGCTGGCGGCGCTCCAGCGCGCTCGGCTGCTCTCCCCGTGCCAGGCATCTCCCCCTGCAGTAGCCTTGGCAGGAGAGCCCAGGGCTTTAACCTCCACCCGTCCTGTCTGAAGGAGGCAAACAAAAGAAAACGCACGTTTGCCCTCTTTTTGGAGCCAGGCTCTAGGGCAGCCCTAACACCACCAGGTCACTCACACGGTGCGAGGATTTCTGGATAGTTTGCACAGCGAGAGGGCACGGAGATGGGAAAAGGAGCAGTTAGACCTTAGAGAAAGACACCGATTTACAACCCCTGGAACTGATGGCGTGGGGCCCCTGTGCAAGGTAACATCTGTAGGCGTTTTGGATGCAGTCTTACAACCTACACAGAATATTCCATGCGAAGTAGTGAGAGTTTGGCACTGAAGCCGAGGAGAGAGTTGGGCCTCTATCTCTTCTGAGAGAACAGCGAGGTTCTGTTAACAGGAGCCTCGCACACTTGTAGTGGATTTTTGCAGTTGTGCCTTGGACTCGCTCCCCAGAAGTGCTGCACACACCTTTCTGCGACTTGTGGCCTCTCTCAGGATTTGGAACTGAAGTCCTTAGGTTTTTTCCACTGCTTCCCTCTTTAGATGTGACCAGACACTTGCTCCTGTAGCTTTTTGGCGATGCTGGAGCTGGTCCTCCCCAAGTAAAGCCTGCATTACGGGCACCTTTGCTGGCATGGGCAGGATTCACAGGCTGGGGAGATGCAGATGCTGTGGAAGAGAAGGGTTTTGAGCACTTAGAGAACGTGCTCTATTGCAGAAAATACAGCAAAACTACTGAAGAGTAAGCTTTTCCAGCTCCATAGCTGATTCCAAATTAGTTTTGGCTATCAAGAAAAATAAAACAGGTGTCTAACTTATTTGATGGCATCAGAGGACTCAAAGCTACCTTGCTGGCCATGGCTCCGCTCTTCATGGAGCAGAGGGGTGGAGGAATCACCCCTGGCTTTTGGGGTAGGTTGTTCTCTGCAGAGCATCTGTGCTGTTCCCTTCCAACCTCTGCACGAGGGCTTGAACATGCAATTTTGAGACGGGCACAAGAAGTTGGTAATACTTCAAGACAAGTGTGTAGGATGCTCCGTAACTCATGTGTGCGAGTGGAAAGGTTTTGACTGCTGCTTTCCTGCCCAGATTCCCAGACTGGCAGGATAGCGACTTGGCTCAGTCCCGTTGGTCTGAACTTGCTTCTGTGATCAGGAGTGTAGTAGGAAAAAGCTACTGGAAATTCGAGTCTAAAATCACTGCTCTGGATGAAAGCCCGAGTCCTAACAGGCAAATTAGAAACATGGGAAACCTGAGTGCGCCACTTATTTGGAATAATAAACACTTCTTAACGAAACAGATGAAACATTCAAAATCCTTCTCCCTTCCCCCTCAGAAATAAAGGGGGAATACCAAAAAGGAGCATTATATTTTTTTTACTATTATGAGGAAGTTTGCTCCAGAAACAAAATAAGAAAGAGGTAACTAGGGAACCAGGAGCCAGAACTGGGTACCCAGGAGCTCTGGGGAGGCCAAAGCGAGGCAGGGATGGTGAGGTGGAAACCCAGGCCAGACTTTTCCCACCTTGCCTGTGCTGTGCTGGGCGTCTGGGGCTGCTGCCTGCGTTCCCCTGGACCATGGACTTGCAAAAAATGTCGGATTTGATGGAATTTCACGGTTTGGTGATAGAGGAAGCGGCGGCGGGGGGTCATTGGGTGGGTGCTGTGGCTGCCTGGCCTCAGCACTCAGCTCATGCACGATGCTCATGTGGCCCTTGGTGGCAATGGTGCTGTGATTGCTCTGCAGGGATTTACAGTAGGTGTTTGCACAGGCTCAGCTAGTGCCTTGCCAGCCGAGGGGCACCCTCGGGAGAGCTCAGGGATGGTTCTTCCCAGGAGCCATTAAAAGCCACGGCTCGTGTTTGGCCTCTGAGTGTCTTCTGGATGGCGCTTGCCCCCAGGAGCTTCCCTTAACGCTGATGCAGATCTAAGAACAAAATGGGACATCTTTCGTTTTGAAGGAACAGGAACCAAGACTGTTCCCCCGAGGAAGAGCCGTTTCCACGGAGCGCTCCGCTGTCTTGGAAAGCTCCTTGGAAGTAATTAGCAAGCGGAGTCCAGCGGGGCCGTGTGGCTGAGCTCATCTCCAGTCCCCTGCTCCGCGTTGGGAACTGCCTTAGTGCATATTTAGACTCAACGAGTGGCAGGATTTGAAAGTCTTGAACCGATCCCCGTGAATTTCATGCTGACTTTTCCAGATTCCTGCCCGCACCGTCATCCATGTTGTGGGTTTAAACTGCTGCCTGCTCCCCTGAGCGCCAGCGTTTAGTGACCTGCTGTTTATTCCCTTCCCTCTGCCAGAGTGCGAGCCCATAGAAGCGATAGCCAAGTTCGACTACATCGGCAGGACTGCCCGGGAGCTCTCCTTCAAGAAAGGAGCTTCCCTGCTGCTCTACCAGCGAGCCTCCGACGACTGGTGGGAGGGACGGCACAACGGGATCGACGGCCTCATTCCCCATCAGTACATCGTCGTCCAAGACACGTACGTTACGTCTTTAAGCCCATCAGCACGAGGGCTTGCTTAAAAATCAGGTGTGGGATGGGGCATTTGTGTGGGGATGCTGACGCCGCACGGTCGCTTTCTTCATCCTTCAATATTCCCTTCAAAAGGGGATCCCATTAAAAAGAAAAGCAGAGCTGCACTGAAGCACAGACACCACGTACGTGACAGTTGAGTTCCAGCCTCTTTGCAATGCCAAAGCAGCCCTGGTGCTGCCAGCCTGATAAAGATGCAGAGCTGCAACCTCCAAGTTGCTTGTGGAAATCTCAGATTTGGCAAATATATAATGATTCTTAAGAAAGACACATTTAGCACAGTGATTTTGTGCGTTTGCATGCATGGTGCTGTATGTAAAACTCGGTGCTGTTCTGGTTGTGATTTCCTTCCCTCCTCCTTCCTAGTGAGGATGGTATCTCTGAAAGATCCAGCCCGAAGTCTGAAATAGAAATAAATTCTGAGCCACCGGAAGAAAAAGTGACAGCCAGAGCTGGTGCCAGTTGCCCAAGTGGGGGTCACGTCGCAGACATTTACCTTGCAAACATCAACAAGTAAGAACAGCCTTGCATTATTTTATGTAATTATAAAGATCTTGGTGACGAGTCCAGTAAAAGATTTCCTTTCCTGAGCCAGGTTAACAAATGAGCACTGCCACCATTTCCCTGTGCTTCCACCTCTTCTAACTTGCTTGCAGTTTGCTTTCCTCCCCCTCTCTCACCAGTGTGGCCAGTGTTCACTTAAAATCCCACTGGCTTCTCCTCCCTATCCCTAAGGTGCCGTCTGCCCCAGTTTTCCCAAACACGTCCTTTTTGGTAAGATAAACATACTGAGAAAGAGAGATATTGTGGAATGAGTTCTTGTAATCATGTGTTCCATTCCTTATTATGTTCCTGTGACCTGTTCTGTCTCATTTACATTTCACGTGGTTTGTTTTATGGGTCACACTTCAGCATTAGCATCATGTTGCGTGTTAACCGACATTCCTTGAATCCCACCATCTGATATTGCCTTTAACACTTCTTCATTCCTCCAGCACCTTTCCCCTTACGCAGGTTACTAACCATATGCTTGCAGTGAAACAACACAGCCCCCCATTTTCTTAACTTTACCTGCTGAGTAAGAAATTGTTGCCTTAGCCAACAGTCAGCTTGATTTAAAATAAACCAGGAAAACTAAGCTAGTAAGAGACAGAATGTCATGATCTTTTATTTTAGAGCAGACTGTCCCCCACATCTTTCGGATTATTTCCATCTCTTTGTGCCCTGAAGATATTAATTAGCTTTATAGAAGTGGACATTTTTTAACTTTCAGTTAACTTAACAGACTCTAGTTAGTAATAGCGATGCATTTCTTTTTGAAAGGTCTGGAAGAGCTAGTGTCCTGCACAGAGCCTGACCTCAGGCTGTGGGAGTCAGCAGAGCTCTGCTGATACCCACAGCAGCGGAGCTGCACAGAGCAGTTTGGGATCTCATCTTTCTTTTATGATATTTATTGTATGAGCCATTCAAGTATGTCCTTCTGTCAGTTATGGAAAAAAGAATGTATAATGAACAGACCTGTGCTGGAGCCTCACCATCTGCTGCTTGCTAGTGTTGTATGTAGTGCTTGTAGGAAGCCTGGGTAATGTCCACTCCATAATTTTTTCCCTTTACTAGGGAAACCGATATTTAGCAATAGTAGCGTAAGACTCATTTTGTTGTTTTTTCTTTAGGAATGAATCTTCTGACCTATGTGTGAACAGACTTGAGCAAAATTAAATCAGATGGTTTCGCAATGACAGTTGTGCCACCCACTGAATTATTATTTGGATGCCAAAATCCTACTGGAGTTAACACTTTCTTGCAGTTATTCCTGGGGCTGGTGCTATATATAAATGGATCCTTCCCTGTATAATGGATGCCAAGCTTCAGACCTATGGCATAAAGTATTCTTGCTACATGGCCTTTATATAATTTGAATGGAATCATGCTGTCAGACCACATGCTGCTGGGGTAGAAAGTAAATTGTTTGGACCAGCTCATCCATTTGACATCATCTTTTGGTATATCTGTAGCCCTATATAGATCATGCCTCATGGTCTTACTAAAGCACTGGAAAAGATCTCTCCTACCACCAGCACATACTGGAAATGGTTCTTGACCCCAAACTATCTATGGGGTTCTTTGCTTGCCAGTCTCTGAAAATAACAACTTGATGCCTTGGGCCAGGAGCTTAGTAGACTTATACTGTGTCCTCCAGTCAAGAAATTGTAGCTCTGCTCTTCTAATGTAATAAAAACACATCATCAAAACCTGCTGATGGCACAGAGGGTTTTTTTTTTTGTTCAAATATAAAATCTCTACTTCAGTTGATTTCCATCCAAGTTTTCTGGTTTTGCTATGAATGTGCACAGCTGCCAGAAATCCAGTCTTGTTGTTAGAAGTGTTAAAATGCAATGATTTACTGTTTCCCAATGACCCCCTAAAATCCTGGGCGCCTTTGTAATCTGGGTATCTGTATGTGTCTTCCCATTGTCTTCTGTGTTGTCTTGGGGGGATATCTTCAAATTACAGCCCATCCATGTGTTCCTGCTTGTATTGACTTGTTTTGCTTTTGTGACTGAAGGCAGAGAAAGAAACCAGAGTCAGGCAGCATCAGAAGAGCCTTTCGTCAAAGTGACAGCCATGGGCTAGGTAGTTCACTGGCAGAACCAGCCTCCCCAGGAGCCATAGCGGGTTCCAGACCCTCATCTCAGCCCATTTTGAGCCAAAGTCTTCCCAAGGAGGTTCCAGATAAATGTTCCATCAGTGGCCACGGCAGCCTCAATTCCATCAGCCGACATTCGTCGCTGAAGAACAGGATAGAGAGCCCGCAGATCCGGAAAACTGTGACGGCAGGGAGGTCCAAGAGCTTCAACAACCACCGGCCCATGGACCCTGAAGTTATTGCACAGGTAAAAAAGGAGGATTCTGCCTGAAGGGTTGTTTGAGCACACTTAAAGGATACCAGATACAATGGAATGTCTTGATGCAAAGTCTGAATCAATCTTATAACTTCCTTGCCGTTCCTTCCAGCCATGCAGCATTAATTTACTAGGCAGCTTGAGTGTAATCTTTAGCTTCACTGTGCGCAAGTCACTGCGACTGCTCCACGAGTGAAGTTAAGCAGTCAGGTCCTTACTCCATAAAAACTTGGCCTTGTTCATTATTCAAATGGAGTTTCAACAATAAAATTGCTCCTTGCAGAAAATTACACAGATTCCAAAGCTGTCAGCAAAAAAAAAATACATTATCTAAACTTCAAGACGTAAGAAAAGCAAAGTATTTAGTGTCAGTTTAACATTTTTCCTGTCAGTTTAGCAGCTTGGCCTGTGGTCAGGCATTGGAAGCAGATGTAGCAGCGTGAGCAAAACAAGAAGCTACCGAGCTGGCCAGCAGTGTGCACCTTTATACACCCCCAGCATCCTGGAGCGGGGATTAGAAACCAGCCTTGGACCCTAATCCTCCCCGTTTGGATTAGTTCGTTATTCAGACGAGTGCCCTGTCGTGAGGACAGGTACCAAAGCACCTACAGCTGTGCTTGAACTTGCAGAAAAATTTGGTGTTTTTTGCATTCGAACATCTGTGGTTTCACAAGTAGCATAAAAAATGATGAAAAGTCAGGCCTAGAGATTTCGAGAAGTGACAGCTGCTAATGGGGTGAATGATATAAATGTTACAGATTTCCCTGCTCCCTGAAGGATCTTCCCTCTCTCCAAATCCAGGCTGTTGGATGTGTCTGCACATCTATGCTTGCCTGTACCAACTGTTTTCAGTATGTGATGGATCTATCTAAAGCCAAGGAATGCCTGGCGCTCGGGTTACAAAGTCAGCTCGCAGTCACTCTTTGCCTCTCTTGGTTCAGAAGTCTGTAGATTTCTAAAAAGCTGGGGGAAGATATGTGAAAATGAAACAGCATTTTCATTGACAAGGCAGCAACATTAAGTAATAAATAAAGTGCAAGTAAAAATCTGATTCATATTCTGATGGAAAACAGTATTTTGCCTGATGAATATCTTTAGCCCATGTCCTCCAATGAAATTATAATATATTTTATCTTCGTATTTTGTTGTCCTTCAGTTGACAAAAATCAGTTGCTCTGCCTCCTCTTCCTGCCAAAATATTAACTCCAGTTTTCACTGGAGAGTAACCTTAAAAGCCCGAGCTACTACAAAAAGATGGTAAATCAATATTTCTCCTTGCCCCCTGCTTTAAATGCCACCTCGTAACCCTCGTGCGCTTTCCGTATTTTCCCTGACTTCATAAGCGAAATCCCCTTGGTCTCGAGGTAGCCCCGGGGGTGTCAGATTCCCGGCTCCTTCCATCGTTCCTTGCCTGGGAATGCGCGAGGGAGCCGGAGAGCTGGAGCCCAGCGTGAGGCCCTTCCCTCCGTGGGCTCGTGGATAGCAGCAAAACCCAAGTGTTTGCTGTGTTTTAAGAGCGTTTGGCCCATCAGCCAGTGCACAAGTGTCAGCCTCGGGTTTCCTGTCTTTTATGAACTGTTTCTCGTGGATCTCCTGTATCTAAGGCAGTGCTGCTGCTTTGAGAGCTGCGTGCTTTTGTGGTCATAGCATTGCCTTGGAATTGGTACCTCCCCGAAATCCATCAGAACTGGGAGACTTGGCATCACTAAAGGACCAGATTAACATTAAAGAAAATGTAGGTTTTTCATGTCCCCATTGCATCAGCTTTGGCTCTTACAGACCGACCACCAGAGGCCCAGGACTCTGCCTGACTCCTGCCTGCTTGTTCTCGGTCTCGGTTCTGAGCTTCACTCGGTTTCTCTTTTGCCTTTGCAGGACATTGAAGCGACCATGAACTCTGCTCTGAACGAGCTGCGGGAGCTGGAGCGGCAGAGCAGCGTGAAGCACACGCCGGACGTCGTCCTCGACACCCTGGAGCCCCTGAAAACCTCCCCGGTGGTGGCTCCCACCTCGGAGCCCTCCAGCCCCCTGCACGCTCAGATCCTCAAGGACACTGAACCCCCCTTCCAGCGCAGCGCCAGCACGGCCGGCGACATCCCCTGCACCTTCAGGCCAGTGAAGTCGGTCAAAATGGCCACGCAGGTCAAACCTCCAGCGACGAGGCCCAAGCCTACAGTGTTCCCCAAAACCAACGCCACGAGCCCGGGCGTCGCGTCCTCAGCGTCTCCGCAGCCTGCGGACAAGTCCTGTACTGTCTGATGAACTTGGTGCTGCGCTGGGGATGTAACTGTGCTGTTTCAGGTGAAGAGACTGTGCTGAGGAGTCATTTAAAAACCCTATTTAACTCATTTTTGAACTTCTGCTGAAGGTCAGTTGTGGACTGCTACTTCCTGCTGGGAATGCTTCCTGGGAGTGAAATGTTGGAAACTAAGCCTCGTGCCACGTACCCGCATCCGTGATGTTCTAAGGCAAAACAGGACATGCCACGCTTAGGAAGTCCGATATCGGGTCACTGTGAAGCTGAGGAGGAAAACACAAAGTGATGAGTTAGATCTTGGTTTCTAGTTAATGCCTTGTTCAAGTGTTTGGCCACTGAAAAATGTTTAGTGGCGTCATGTTTTGAGTACTGGTGTAGTAACTTATATATTCTGTGTTTCATTTATCACAGGGAAACAATAGAATAGATTTTAGTCTACTGCATGTTTGGTGCCACTAGCTAGGTGGAGCTTGGACATGCCTGTTTCTTGTGCATTATTTCGTTGCCCACTGGTGCCACTGTGGTTAAGGGTCTGTCTCAATTCCATTACATCCCCTGCTTTTGGATTTTGCTCCCCGAATCCTTGCCCAAGGGCCAAAGCTCTTAGCCTCCTCCTCTAGTCGACACTTGTCACGACGAATAGTTTACTCTGGAACACTTAGATTTTATGGAGTTTACGTAATATGTGTCTGTGCAAATACAAACAAATATGCTCCTGGGGGTTAGGAGCATAAGAAAGAGCCCGGTTGTTGCTTATGGACAATCTAGTTGTCTTCTCCTCTTCTGCTCTCCCGTTTGAAAGCAGCCTTGTTGTTTTTCAGTGTAATTTTCAGCCCATAGGCTGTCCTATGCTGTATGGTCTTGGGAAACTGAATGTAAAACCAGTTGAACTTTACAAACTAGCTGGTGTGCTCCTCCAGGAGTTCACTGACCAACGCACACGTTCTTGTTTGGATCCCGTATCAAGATGGGTCCTTACCAAAACCCCAGTACGAGCACTGCGAAACTTCAACCCCAAGTTCTCCAGTTTTGTGTCTTTGCCCGGTTCCTGGCTGCAGATGCTTCGGTCGGCAGCCATGGCCACCGCAAACTGCTTTAGGCTTCCTGCTCTCACGGAGCGCCGGGAGCGGCGGGGCTGGGAACGTCGGCGCGCGGCTCCCGGAGCGGCTTCCCTGCGCGTTGCCTCGCCAGGAGCTGCAGACACTTGAATGAATCCCTGGTAACCTACTTGCACGGTAGGCAGCAAGTGCTTGGGCCGCTGCATGGACTCTTCTGTATCCGCTGGGAATTTCCAGAACGCTAACGATTATTTAATTTTTAAAAGGCATGTGCCACTGAAAGCAGTAACGAAGATCTTGCAGTCCCACCAGAGAGGGAGCTTTTGGCTAGTCTGTAATTCCCAAGCTCTCCTGGGACTTAAATAGTTGCACGTCTTGGGCGTTCATCAAATAAATTCATGAGATAAGCTATTTTCCTCTTCTTTTTTAGGTGAGTTTCTTTTAAATTTGTGGGTTTCTCACACTTGGCTTCCTCGTGAGTGTAATGCCATTATAATGGGCACTTAGTAATTAAAAAAGAAGCAAAAAATATGCATTATGAAGAACTTTTCCATAAACATACTTTCCTGACTTATTTTAAGGATGTTACATGGGTTTTATTCTTCCTATACCCCCCTACCCCATTTCTGCAAAAGAAGCATATCCAAGTGAATGACTTGAAAAGACCAACTTCTCTGTGCCCTAAATTAAGAGCGTATGGAAAAATTGTGGACACCAATAGAAAGGGAATGCTGGGAAGATTTTGGTGAGGCCGTTTTCATTGCTGCTTTTTCCGGATCGGATCCGTAGCAGCGGTTCTGCGGGAAGCGCCGGGCTCCTGCGGGTCTCGCCCCGTGCAGCGCCCGGGAGGATCCCCCCAGTTCGACCAGCGAACTTTGCTCTCAGGTTCTGACGGACTCCTACCACCAAGGAATCACTCGTGCTTTTGGGGAAAAAGAATTAAAACAAACTGGTAATTTTTCGCTCAGGCAGAACTTTCTGGCATTTCCTTAGGTAGGGATTTTTTTGTTTTGTTTTGTTGGGTCGTGAATGGCCAACGTGAATCCGTGTCAAGAGCAGGATCTCTGTAAACTTACTTTGACTCATTTGTAATGCCTTATTTTCTTTATACTTCTTATGCCTAGCATTCACGTTTCTAAGGGTCAGTGTCCAGCCCCACGCAGCACGTTCGGGGAGGAGATGCTCTTTTCTATCAGCGGGGTCTGAAGTGTGGAGGGAAACGAGAGAGCAGAAAGGCTTGAGGTGACTGTGCGTGGGATTACGGTGCTTATCTGCAGCATCCGCAGCTCGGGGACAGCCCTGGTGTCCCGGGACGCGCTCGGGGGACCGACGGCATCCGGAGCGGCGCCGCGGCGCGCACCGTGACGGACACTTCCATACCGCGAGCAATACGCAGCCTGCAGAGCATCTCCTCCTCCGCGTGGGCCTGGACCGGCAGGAAACCCGCACACGTCGCACACACGAGGGGAGAAACCTCAGCCCAGCTTCCCTCCACGGCCAAGGGGACGTTGGCCATCGTGGGTGACAAACGTTCGTTGCTGGAGAGGTGGGAAAGACAAACTGGAAGCATCGGCACCGCTCTGCAGAGCGGGGGCATCGTAGAGAAGAGACCAATGTATTGTGGACAAATGAGACACGGTGGTTTGCTTGTGGAGGTAGAAATGTTGCTTCGTATCTTCATGTTCTGAAGGAATACTAGCTCTTCCATGAAAATTCTTTCATGAGTTCTATGTAATGTATGTGTCAAATATAAAAGACAAGAAGTGTTGGATAACTGGAATAACGTACGTCTGTTTGATAGTGTTTTGTATGAGCAAAGGGTTCTTGTTCATCAAGTGTTGGATTGGAATAATCCAAAGCAAAACTTTAAAAATAAAGTACAATTCTAGGCCATTGATCTGCATAGTTTTTAGAGCTCTAACCTGGTATGTTTTACTTCCCTAGTTGGGAACTGAGCAGTGTGCTTTAATGAGTGCTAAATTTTTGCCTCTCTAAGGTAATCCAAAGGCTCCCACTATAAATTGTGAACCTGCTCTTCGTGTCGAAGCAGGGGGACACGACCCAACACTCGCGTTTTCGCTGTACCAGCTGCTCTGTTCCGATGAAGAGGGTTAGGGTGCACTGTGCCAGCAGGCCGAACATGTTGTATATGTGTGTACGTATTTTGATACCTGTTTAAAGAGTCTTTGGGTTTCCTGTGCTGAATACCTCATGTGTTGGGGAGGGTGGTTGTGTTGTTTCTTATTTCTTTTTAAGGCAAGATTGTTCTTGCACAAAAGTAGGTTAAGGTAACCAAGTTCTCATAAATTTATTTGCAAAGCAAAACGCGTCCGAGCCGGGCAGGAGCCTGGGGGTGACCCCGCCAAGCGCCCGCCTTGCAGCAATAGCACGACTGGACACACGGTGCCCACGTCGCACCCTCCTGGGGGCTGTTTGGGAGGATTTGGGGCTTTTTGATATTCTTTTTTTCCCTCTCCAGCCCGAGAAATAAGTGTCTGGAGTTGGTGCTCTGGGTGCTTTTCCTGGTAGACTGGAATGGGCCGTCCCGTGCCGGGATGCAGTGAGGGGTGCGGGAAGCAGCTGCTGTTCCCGGAGGGACCCTGTGTTTAACGATGGGGCTGGCTGGCCCCCGTGCGGTTTTCCAGCAATATCCCCCGTTTGGGCAGTGACCGGGTCTTGGCCAGCGTCCCGCGTGGGCCGTGGGAGACACGGGGACGTTTCCTTGGGGGACGGGGCTGGCACGGGGGCTCCTGGCGCGTCGGAGCGGGGAGCCCTGCGGCGAGCGGCCCCGGCCGGGGCACCTCTGGGTGCTGCCCGTGGGTCTCGAGGTGCCAAACAGCAGCTCAGAGCCTGGAAAACCCTCAGATCTGTTGCATTTTCGTGCTTCCTCCCACCACGCTAGAGCCGGGAGAGTTTTGTTGGTCTAAGAAGGGGCGAGTGCGGAGCGGGAGGGCGGCAGCGGCTCCCAACGGGGCATCCCAGACAGCGGCCGTGTCCCGGTCCCGCTGCAGCCTACGGAGCTTCCGCGGCGAAGCCGGGAAACTGTCTCCGTGGGTTTGGTGCCGCGGGGCTCGTGGGGTGCTCTGGGGCTGGCTTTGCTATTAAGAGCAGTTGTTGATGGTGGGGTGCAATGTTCCTGCTCAAAGTTTCTATTGTTCCATGTCTTCTACACCGATATATATATGGTGTATATATTAAACCGTGTAAAATTGTACTTTGTATATATAACTCTGTACAATATGGAGGTACATCTTTTTTTTTTTTTTTTTCCTTTGTACAGTATTAGGAGTTACATGTGCTGGAAATGTTGAAATCCATACGGGGGCAACGAAATGTATCCATTGTCATTAGCAATAGTTTTGGAGAAATAAATGTTTCGGGAACGGTGGAAACGCTGAGCTGCGGCCGGCGCTGCGTGGTGTCCGCGGGGAGCCCGGGGCTCCGCGCAATCCCCGCGGGACGCGGGGCCC